TTGCTCCTGTAGCACTTTCCTGACTTATTCTTTATTTTCCTTCACCCCTCTGAGAAGCATTTGGATTTATCTCCATATCATTCTTTTGAATTTCATCTCAGGCAGATCCAAAACCTGCTCTTCTTCTAAGGGGAAGTCCGTATCTGCCTCCAGCTCATTTGTCTCAGTTACTCTTTTCCGTTTTTGGACATGTGCTGAGATATTTTGTTGTTTTTTTTCTTGGACATTTTCAATAGTTAGATGTGTTTTCAATGATTTAAATGAATGTATGTTGCTGTATTGTTAAGCTAACTGAATGTCTCCTGGTGGATGTGATCTGGAGATAGGCTTCCCCTTTCATGTGTCTTATTACTCAACTGCTAGCTATCTTAGCAGGTGTTGACTATCTATGTAGTGCACAGCAGCTGATATTGCTCCTTTCTGAATGGTGGGATATTATGGGGTATGCTTGTAGCTTGGCTATATGGCCATGATTGCTGTCTCCTCTTGGATAATGTAGGGAGAGAAAGCTCCCACCCCCAGGAAAAAAGTGAGATCAAAAGGACCAAAACCAGAAACAATATAAAAATAGAGACAAAAACCAGCACACAAAAACAAAAACAAAACCATAGCAGACTGTCCAGTAGCCTTTGCTGTGCAGGTCAGTGTTCATGCACAGTAGAAAACTCCAGCAGTGGGTGGGGGTGTCCACTTGCTCAGTCAACCCTCCCCTCTAGTCACCACTGTGGAGGTGTGCAGATAGATACTGAGAAATGAATGGAAGAAAGACTGTTCACAATTTTTATCTCTGAATGTCAGTTAGGTATCTGCATATGCACAGTGTAATTCTCAAAATGACTGTGTCTTTGTATATAGTAGTTGATGTTGGCTCTTACCTTTTATGTTGGTGTTTTACAAGCTGCAAATATGGTTTGGCTGTATGGCCAGACCTGCTGTCTCTAGTTAGGTAAGGCAGGAATAAAAGCTTCTGTCTACAGAAGAGAGTCAACTTTAGGGCTAAGTCCCAGAGTCAAAGGTCATAAGATGCAGCCACAGGATTAGCTTGTGGGACCACTGGGGCTTTACACCATTGGACAATTGTACCCTGTGGGCACAATGCTGGACCCTTTTGGGGGTGCACTCCCACCCACCTGAAGATGCCCAGGCTAGCCAAAGAGGGTGCAACAGGGAAGAGGAGGAAAGAAAAGTGAAAAAAAGTCATCACACCTCTTTTTCCACCAGTTGCTCCGTGGCTTTCATGCTGTATCAGCCTAGCTGTGGCCCCACCCTCTGATCTCCACACAAGCTGTGGGCCACAGGGTGAGACCCAATTGATTCTGAAATTGCCATTTATTCCTTCCACTGTCAGATATCTCCACCATTGGGCATGGAAAACTGATGCCCCCCATTTTGTATTAGATATATAGCTCTGGAACTGTTTCAGCAAAGTGCTTTCTCTGTTTTTTTTTTTTTTTCATGCTGTCTCAGAGGAGCCTCCACGGCCTATTTTTGCTTCTCTTACTCCCAAACTGGAGGGCCCCTTAACAGGTTTTCTGTTTGTGTTTATTATGATGTGTATACAATATTCAGATAAGACCAGTGTTTGCAGTTTATAGCACTGGAGACCTAAGGGTAAATTTGGGGGCTGGAGACTCCAAGGTGACCCTCTACCATCTATATCTGGAGTCCTGGTGTGGTGCTGTAGGATAAGCACTTGCTAACCACAGTCCAAACTCAACAACCATTCCTCAGAAGTCCTATACAGGGTCGCTATGAATCAGAACTTACTGGGTGGCATGAGAACAACATAGTTTATATTAACCTTTCCATTATTTTTCTTAAAGGAATTTTATGAATTGACTGCACTATAATCTCTAGTTTTAGTCTCATATTCTTGTCTTCCTCTGATGATTTTAAAGCAGGCCAATCATTATGTCTCTACATCACTTGTTATTTATTTCATTTTACTTTTCAGAAAATGTTGCTTTTTAGTCATTTTAGTTTCAGAAACTCCATTTTCTGTGTATCCAACTGCAGATGCTGACTATCAGAAATCAGACTCCCACCTGTATATTGTGACTTCTGCATTTCAGTAGATTAAAAACTGAGCTGGCCCTGCAGCATTTTCTTCATTGGTGACAGCAGGGATCTGTTTCATATGATTCCTATTTTAACTGCAACGTTCCAAAACTGCAACAATGCCGACTTCTAGTTGGGCTCCTCATTCAACTTTTAGATTCTTAGCTTCCTCGAAAGTCTCACTATAAATGGCCCTATTTTCCTGTCCCACCTTTTTTTTTTTAAAAGCCTGTACTTCAGATTCCTTTCTCAGTGATGGTTCTCTAAATCCCGGTCAAGTTGCCTAATTTCTTCATTGTTGTTCTTGTTAAGTGTCATCGAGTTGGCTCAGACACATAGTCACCCTGTATAGGGTTCCCAAGGAGTGGCTGGTGGGTTTGAATTGCCAACTTTGTGGTTAGCAGTCCAGTGCTTATCCTACAGTGCCACACCAGTATTCAATTTCTTCATTAAACTGATTTTTTTTTCTTTTATGTATGTTAAATGTCTCTCCATGATGGATATTTCTGGATTATATTCTTTAGTCTGCTTAAGTGATTTCTCCCTCGCTTCCAATGGAGATACCATGCTTCTATCTTCTGTAACCATTTGATCATTTGATCGCCAACTCAAAGCTTTTCAGTCCGAAATACAGCCTCCTAATGGATTGGGAATGTGTTGTTTCAGCTTCAGGTATTCTCTTTTCATGTTCGGGAAATCTAGTTGCTGTTGAAGTGTTCATATCCAATTCTTGCAACAATTTCTATTTCATAGTTTTCACCTCTGTGTACTTCACTTGATTTTTTTGAAGAGACATATTTTTAATAAGGCCATCTACTGCCTGTTTTTCTTGTTGAAGTTCTTCTTTTATATTTTCAATTTGCTTCTTTTTATTCATTACTTCTTCTGCCTCAATCTTGGCACTCAGTTTATCTACCAACATGTCATAGTCCACTAGTTGTCCTTGGAAACACTTTGATTTCAACAGTTGAAGTCTCAGGCCTCTGTTTACATGGCAAATATACTAAATTCTCTTGATTGTACATTTGTATTTCTTTCTGAAGTTTATTAATTTCAGTTGTAAGTTTACTCATTTTACTTCTGGGGAATACAAGATAACAACTTTTGTCTAAAATCTGTCTCTAGAGACCTTTCATTCAGGTTTTCATTCTTCCTAAACCTTGCTGGGTTATAGGACAATCAGCAACTTTGATTTGAGAAGACTAGAAGACCACCAATGAGCTCTGGTAGCTAGTGGTACCAGTCGGGCTGTTAACCTCAAGGTTGGCAGTTCGCAACGACCAGCCATTCCTTGAGAGAAAGATGAGGCATTCTGTTCCTGGAAAGATTTACAGCCTCGGAAACCCTATGCAGGGTCCCTATGAGTTGGAACTGACTTCACAGTTGCATACCAATTGCCACCCAAATATTTCCTGATGGGATTCGTATTCCAGAAGGAGGTCTTCTGGTCAACCCAATTCATCTTATGCTATAAGACCAGATACCGATAGTTTAGGGTTACTGGTCACAGCTTGTTCACTTTAACCACTCCGCTGGTGTGGAAGGAGGATTGTGATCACACTGTTCTGGAATACTCTGCCACCAAAAAACCAACTAGCGGGTCCTTCATTCAATAAAAATTACATGAATTTTGAAAAATAATCTGTTAATATTTATCAAGCATCAAAACATGGATCACAGTCCTGATGGACATTTACCCAAAGCAAGGAATTTAAAAAAGATAGCAGGTGTGCAAGCCTTTGTAATGTTGTTAATAATAAAGAAATACGAGAGGCAATCTAAATGTTCATCTTCAGCAGGTGAATGATTAGTTAAATTAATATATATTTACCTGATGGAATATGACATAGTCATTGAAAATGTACAAAAATTATATAGCAACATGGACCAACCCTTACGTTATGGTGTCAAGTAAAATAAAAAGCAAGACACAATAGTTTTCACGTCATACACTACTTTTTGGTATTTGCCATTGAGTCAGTTCTGACTCACAGAGACCTTGTACAGAGTTTCTGAGTTGTGGCTGGTGGGTTTCAAACGTCGATTTGGTGATTAGCAGTCCAGTGCTTATTCTACAGTGCTACACTAGGATTCAAACTGCTATGATGTGAAAGTGATATATTTATGTAAAGACTGAAATATAATTTTTTAAAAAATTTGATGCTATATTGAGGAGTAGGGCTCACAGGAGAAATAATTCTTTTTAAAAATCTTCTAAACAGTGCTGGTGTGGCACTGAGGATTAATGCGCTGGTTGGGACCATAAGATGGGTGATCCAAGCTCACCTGTCGGAACGACTCAACAGCACTTCGCAACAACAACAAACACTTATGAACATTATCACAATATCTTTCTAACAGAGAATTTCAATGTATACTAAAGTTTAACTTTCAGTAACTGAATGGGTAAAAATGACAAGTTACAAAAACCTTAGCCTTATAATGTGTGTTGCTGAATGAGCCCTGGGGTATGTCTGTAACTTTCTCATCACAAGTGATACAGTGAATTGAACCTATATGTGTGGGTAGAACCCAGACACGATAGATGCTAGATTATTCTCCCAAGACCAGAAATCCCTTTTCTGCTAATTGATACTTGCTGGGGTCACACAAAGTGACAGCATATGGGGCCACAGTCCAAGCTTTGGAACATGCAAACTTTCCAGCTCCTACCACCGCACTGCAAGAGTTCTGGTTTGGCACTATGGGATACGCACTGGACCACGAGGTCAGTTTGAATCTCAAGGTTAGAGGTTCAAATTTACCAGCTGCTCCTTGGAAACCCTATACAGGGTAGCTATGAATCCGAGCCGACTTGAGGACTCTTAGAGACAACAACAACACTGCTCTGCAGCTGTTAATGACGCACTGAGGGCACGCGCATTTTCCCGTGCCTGCGCACACAGGCAGGGTGGGAAGGCAGGCATGAACGAGAGTCTTACCTCGGCACCGGCTGCTTGGTAGCCTCGGGTTCTGGTTAGTCTCCCTTCAAACTTCAGCACAATCTCCTTTGCTCGTCTGTGATTGTGAACACAGTGTTATTACACTTCTAATCCTGGAAATACTTTATAAGTGAAA